TATATTTTATTATACTGGTGCAGTAATAGTGCAGAATCTTTAATATTTATCATTAAAATTATAGAATAAATTTGCTTTTTTCTTACATTTCTAAACCTGGGTATTTATTTCTAAGTTTGAATTTGAAACTAAATTCTCAGATCTTCAATGTGGTCTCAGATTTTTGGACTCCACTGTAAATGCTGCCCAGATGTGTGTTTAAGGAGTATTAATTAAACAGACTCTGAGGAAGCACAATCTGCCACCTTGTAGAACACTATAATGAACATCTGCCTGCCAATTTGCTCAGCGCTTCACACACACACACACACACACACGCCTTGTCTCTGTACACTATTCTTTGACAATGTAGATCCTTCTGAGACAACAAGCTTTTCGTGTCTTTATAGGAATGTTTCTCATCGTACATGACTGTGGTTTCAAAGAGGCCATTTCGTTCAGCTGGACGCGCCGCCTGCATGTAAACCGCACTCTCAGGCACTCAAGAGGGATGTATTCCCAAATCAGCATCATTACTCCAGTCTTCAGTGTCACATGATCCTTCAGAAATCATACTAATATGCTGATTTATTGCTCAAGAAACATCTCTTACTATTAGCAATGTTGAAAATTAATACTGTTGTGGAAACTTGATCCCCCCCCTTTATATTAAAAACATTGTATTATATTATATTATATTATATTATATATTTTATTATACTGGTGCAGTAATAGTGCAGAATCTTTAATATTTCTCATTAAAATTATAGAATAAATTTGCTTTTTTCTTATGCTTCACACACACACACACACATACACACACACGCCTTGTCTCTGTACACTATTCTTTGACAATGTAGATCCTTCTGAGACAACAAGCTTTTCGTGTCTTTATAGGAATGTTTCTCATCGTACATGACTGTGGTTTCAAAGAGGCCATTTCGTTCAGCTGGACGCGCCGCCTGCATGTAAACCGCACTCTCAGGCACTCAAGAGGGATGTATTCCCAAACAGTCTGCCCTATATGTAAATCAACTACCATTAACTCCCCATCCAGGGAATGCTGGTTGACTTGCTGGCAAAAAGCACATTCTAACACTTTCCAGGGAACTGGAGGTTGCGTGTTGGGAATGAAGGAACAAAATTAGTGCTGATTTCATCCTCCAGCAAGCAAAAGGCTATTTCAACCTGCTTTACTAGTTTCTTTCTAAGAATTAAACAGTAGCTACACCACAAAAAAAAAATGGCATGAAGATACAGGTGAAGTCATGGTGTGTCATAAGCAAAGATAAACTCATAAACTACACTGTAAAAAATTATTTTTCAAAGTTGTAAATAAAGATTATTGGAATTTGTTTTAGAAGAAAACACTATTTCAGTCTGCTTCAAAATGTTACTTTTATTTAAATGTTACTTTATTAAATGCTGCTATTTAAATGCTGTTTCTTTGTAATTAATTCTGAAATGTATTAGCCTATATTCTATGCCTCTTTTATCCCTTGCATACTCAGACTAAATCCCTATTTGTACACTAACTGTGTAATAGTACATACTACATCATGCTAGATTAGTATTAATAGGTCCCAAATCGGTTAAAAACAGTATTTTGCAGGTACCCTAAATGCATATTCCATGTATGCATTGAAATATGCATGCTTTTAGGGCTAATATTGCCCACAACCCCCAACAAAGGGTTTATGATGGTTCTTCTGATGCCAATTTATATAATTATGCAGCAAAGATGTCTGTGATATAATTTAAGATAGTATAATGCAAGATACTACACACACTCATGTTTTAATCACTTCATGCACACATGAAAGCCTTTGATGACATTCTCTCGGGTTTGTACCTTTTACATTAGTAATGAACTTTTGGATCGTTGAAATATCTGTCAACACACATCGCGGTCATGCTAGAGAGGAATATGTGTAATATTATCCCGAGTCACATTGAATTTAAGACTTTATGACTGTATGCAGCATGACTAAAGCAACAGCAGAAACAGGAAACAGCCTGTCTGATATTTTTATAACAACTGGCATTTTCATAAGACCAACTGTTTAAAGCGATGGCATTTCTAATAGCTTTCCTGCACATGCATGAATATTAAAGATGCCTTCCATGCAGAAAATTAAATTTTCATTGTCAAAACAGAAAATAAGCCCTAGATGGATGAGATATTAGTTTTAAAAACAGTTGAATTAGTTGCCTCTCAAGCATCTGAAACATTGTTTTGCACATGTGTGGAGTTTAAGGTTAGCTCAAGAACTACATAAAAGGTTTAGTTATTGTAAAAATGCCATTTGATGCAAATATTTAGCACAGGCCGTACTCTTCTTGTGTATAACAGCCTGAGGTCATGTTCTGTCTCCGTCCTTAATTATGTCATTAGCTCTTTTTTCTGCTCTCTATTCAAAAGAGGCTGGGCTCTGACCTGCTGCAGTTCACACTTGAATAAGACTATTTAGCATTAACCGTATGACCTCTTTGGAGGTGCAATGAATTTTGGGATGCACTGCCCTGGTATTAAAATAGGAAACTGTGCTATCTCTACTATCTGGCTGTGGGTGAGACTTGGCCAGACTGATATGCATACTTAAGTGGTAAAGTATGTAAAATAGAGAGACTTGAGTCAACAACAGATTTCCATAGCGATGAGTGGTTATTGATGAGATATAATGAGATCCAGGGGAAAAAAATAAATTTCTCTTGAAATTATATTTTTTCTGGATCTTTAAATTTAAAGCGACATAAAATGCTGACTAGTTCTCCAAATATAGGGTCATATATGACCTTTAAAGTCTTCCCCACCTCAATTGTTTTAAACATTAATATTAGTTATTAATATTAAAAGATGAATATTTAAACAATAAAATAAGAGTTTCTGTATATATATATATATATATATATATATATATAGCCTATAACATATTTATTATCTTAAAAAATTACCCAAAGTGAAAAAAACTTTTGTCCCTGTATTTACATAAAAATCCAACATTAAGTCATATTATGATTCTGTATGCACCATGGAAACATATTAACCTGATTGCCATAGAAAGGTTTAATTAGCCTATTTTAAGAAAATTAAGTTAATATAATTTAAATCCGAATGAAAGAGTTGCATTCATTTGATTTAATACAGCTATAGGCATATTCGGAACATGCTGAAATATACAGTAGCTAATATTCCAGTTGCAGTTTTTCAGATTAAAGGCTTAACCAAAACACCGACCATAATAGGCAAATTATGTAAATATGTTCAGTGTTTCCATGAGTCTACAGCAGACACGCAGCAGCTGCTTTCAACTAGAGATGCGCTTTTTAGATGCGCCAATTCTGCACAGTGCACATTCCAGTGTAGCGGTATGCACAGCCCGCGGCTCCCGCACACACACACACACACCCTGAACAACTCGTTGGAAGTTTATTGACCGCTAAAGAAGCCTAGTTTGATTAAACTGTAGGCCTTGAACACAGATGCACTGCTTTCACGTGAACAGCACCAAATCTGCTTAATCTACTGCACGTCTACATCTGCGTAAGTAGCATATCTTTCCATATCAAGACGTTTCCGCAGTAGCAGAGATTTTCCTAAATATTTACACATTTAAACTTCCATATACGTTCGCTTTTGTTTAAATAGCCTACCACATTATAACCACTTAACAAATCAAAACTGGAAGTATTTCCTTAAACGGATATAAACATACTAGCAACTGATAAACATCAACAGCACAACAAGCTAAGAGCACGTACTTCCATAGTAAACAACAGTAAATATTAAAAATATAGATAAGAATAACACTTTTGACGTTTTTAAGCCTTACTCACCTTATTGGAAGCACAATTTATGTTTTCTGACTTGCTTTCTTATTTCCGAAGTAACTCTCCTCACTTTCGTTTGCTTTTGTAACCTATATATATGGAGGTAAAGGCTGTTTTAACTGTGACCGATAGAAGTAAAATGCTTATAAACTATCGGTGAGCAGACCTTTGATTTCATGGTAGTCAAATTAAAAAAAAAGTTCCGGAGCTCGAAAAAATCGGAATGGCAGTAAGTTTTCCCACGAACGGAAACAGTGTAGCAGGAAAGATGGAGAGGCGTGACTTCTTCACTGCGTTTACGGTCAATCCACAGGAAAACAGTGCTGGCGTTTTCCAGCAGGGGGCGCCCGTCCATACGCAATCCCACACGAGGGTTATTCATTTAAAATATTCACAAATAACGAGGCTTGTAATTCCTAAAAAGTGTGCAAAACGCACTTTTAGGGGCTAAAACCGTTGTGCCTGTGAAAAAAAGATGCGTAGCCTTTGGAAAATGTTAAATGACGGCCTTAAAGATGTCAAACTAAATTTTGTATGAGCTGTTTATTATATATATATATATATATATATTGGGTAATGACATTTTTACACCCCTGTTGCTAAGACATTTGGGCCTAAATACAGTTAAAGCACTGAATTGTGTAATGCTGTCATTTTCTGCAAATTAACATTACAATTAAAGTAGGCATATTAACAAGTTTTATTTTTAATTTTAAATAATAGTTTTATAATTAATAACAATTTTGGTAAAAACATCGACATTATAACATCGTTTTTATTTTTTATTACTTATTAATAATAGCATTATAAGTACTGCTTTAAAAAAGTAACAGAACACCAAAGTGTAATATACATTCATGGTTTTCATGCCAAAAAACAAAACAGTGACTAAACTCCAAATGAAAATCTAATAGTCCATACATTTTTCTCAAAAGAATGGTTGTTTAATGCAAGGAAGTTTTACAGAATTAAATATAACAGCAACAAAATGTCAAATAAATTATGTGCAAGTAGATTATGCAGAGAAAATTAAGATAATTAAAAAAAAAGAAGCACATTTCATCCAATAAATGAATATTAAGAATGGACAATTGTGTGTGAGGTTAGCTTATACAGGTTGTCCAAAAAAAGAAAAACATCTCAGTCATTCATAAACACAGGTCTTATTTTGTATAAGTTTACATGCGTCAGTCTGTACTGTATGTTGACAATGTGGTTATATATGCCATTCCATATTCATTTCTGTTAAGTCAAAACATGGTGGATCTGGGTAAAACTACAGATGTACCTTAACTTTATCAACAAAGAGAGCAAACAAAAAGATGTTCCGTTGCATAGTAGCGTAGCAGTCTAGAGTAGTAGTATTTGGCAGCAAGACATTGCCATTTATGTGTCTTAATCAGGGCCTGTATTTTGCACCTCGGAGGAATCATTTCCTCTGGGTCAATCTCTTGCTGTGTCCTGGGATTCATTATTTAGACACCTATGCAGTTGCACATACGGCCCAGAGTGCAGGTGGACGGGCCTGTTTGGACCAATGAAAACAGCAGCTGCGTATTTTTGTTGCACAAACAGACACAGAGTAGCCCTTCAAGCGGTATGATGAGATTCATGCATGTGCAAATCAGTCCCAGTGCAGACTGAAGCCCTTAGAAAGCATGACGGCCTCCAGGTCACTGTCCTCCTCATTTTCCCTCACTCGCTGCTCCTCCAGCAAGGCCACCAGCGCATCCCTCTGCTCCACCACATCCAGCATCTCGCTCAATATACGCCTCTCCTCGGCCAGCTCATCCTTCCCCTTCAGATCGTCTGAGAGAGAGAAAGAGGTGCTGTGAAGTTGCTATTAATTAAAGAACAACTATGAGAGAAAACCACAAAGGAGTAAGGGGAAGTTGAACTATTAATATCCTCTGTGTGTTCTAACCGTCCACCGCCATGCGCTCTCTCAGCTCTTGCTGCAATCGGCTCTGTCTGTCCTCCAGCTCCAGTTCACGTGCACTGTGGACAGACCACACAGATGAAAATAGAGCGATCAAACAATACTAGACCAAACCGAGAAGCTGAACACTTATGTAATACCTGATGTAATCACACAATGCCAGATCAGTCCGCACAGTTCAGATACTATTAAACATTCAAACTGTTGAATACTCACAATATCATGAGCTCAGATTCATAGCGCACGAGAGCATTCTTCTCTTGAACCAGTTTAAACCACTGATGCATTAAGCTAGGATCATCTTTCTTTCCCATTCCTGTAAGAGAGAGAGGAGGAGCATGGGACACTGGACACGCTAACATACACATGCATGAATATGTCTAAACAGGGTCCAAATTATTACTTTTTGGGTGCTAAAATGCAAGTAAAAATTGGCTTCGGCTTTGGTTCCTCAATATAACATAGTTAAACTATAAGAATGATAGCTTGAAAGATAAAATGAAAGACATGCAAGTCAAATAAAAGACATACAAAAAAAAATGTATAAATAAATAAAATAACATTTTGTGTGTGTATATATATATATATATATATTATAAAAAATAAATAGAATTTTTAAATTAAAAATCTATTATAAATTTGTTTTTGTATGTATGTATTAAATATTTGTATTTCATTCATTCATTTATTATAATATTAATTTAAAAACACTTTAAAAAGCAAATTTTGGACCCTGCTTATAAACTACACTACTGTTCAAAAGTTTGGGGTCAGTAAGACCTTTTAATGTTTTTGAACCTCTTGAGTCTCTTATGCTTACCAAGGCTGTGTTTATTTGACAAATAAATACATTAAAAACTGTGAAATTTTAATACAGTTAAATTTCTTTTCTATTTTAATATATTATAAAATGTAATTTATTCCTGTGATGCAAAGCTGAATTTTCAGCAACCATAACTCGAATTTTCAGTGTCACATGACCTTTCAGAAAATATTCTAAAATGCTGATTTGGTGAAACATTTCTTATTATTATCAATGTTGAAAACAGTTGTGCTGCTTAATATTTTTATGGAAACTGTGAAGATATTTTGATAAATAGAAAGTTCAAAAGAACAACATTTACACTATCGTAACATTACAAATGTCTTTACAGTCACTTTTGATCAATTCAATGCATCATTTGCTGAATAAAAGTTAATTTCTTTAAAAAAATAAATCTTTTTTTTTGTTTTGAACAGTAGTGTTATTATCAAAACATGCAAGCAGACAAAAACAAACAGGGAGCTGATACACACTAGACAATAATACAAAAAAACATCTGCGCACACATCATACACACACACAGTGACAATCCCAGCAATTCCCAAATAAAACAGGATGTGACATTTTAGATGTACTGACAGCCATGCAGATCAATGACGTGTCATGCCCATGCAACTCTATCGCGAAAGGTTACAGAATGAAATTTAAGATTACAGGAGAGAATAACGTACTTAGCTGATGAAGTGGAGGTTCTTGCACTACATAAAGAAAAAAGACTGTACAGACATAAACTGAATGATCGTGTTCTGTCCCTTTAGCTTTGGCTGCGTACAGCAGGACACAGGAAGAAAGAGGAAAAAGAGGAGAGAAAGGTAAAAGGATTTAGAAATGATTGCTATTACAAAATCCACACTAGAGGTGTGAGTCACACAGGAAGCTGGTGAGGTGTTACCTTCTGAGGAGCAGCAAGGACAGAGATAGACAGGCCTTCTACGAGGGGAACCTAGAAAGGGCTCGACTAAGACCGCAGAGACGGGCAGAAAAAAAGAGGGAGAGGAGGAATTCAGGAATTCAGGAACGCAACAAAGCAAGGATGGGAATAGTGGAGGAATGTGAGGTGCGAAGCTGAAATGGGTCGAGTTGGATGTTCATGTCCAGGCAGTGGTCTGACTGACAACCTGCTGTCTCAGAAAGTAGGCCACCAGAGAGATTAGCTGAAAGTAAAAGTTAAAATAGCTTCTAAAAATATACCATCTACCCCAACTAAAATCTGTGCTTGTATTTCCAACAGTACTGCCATTTACATCTCATCTCATACAGTCACACCCACCAGACGATACAAGCTAACTAATGCTACCACGAGCATCTAGATCCAATTTAGACACAAAGCTAACAGCAAGCAGACAGGACAGGGTCCACAGCACGAAAAAAGCCAGAAAGCCTGTTTTTACACCACCCTGTTAACATAAAGATTCTAAAACGGCTGTTTAATTTGTGTTAACACCAAAACTAATGAGCCTGTAAGATGGTAAACATGTTTGTTAGTGTCAAATCGTCAAATCGTCGTACATACCACCCAGATGTATGTCCAAAAGGTTAGATGTACTAGAGTCTCCCCAGAAGTCTATATCATGAGGAAGGACAAGTCATGAGGATCGTGACCATTAAAAGTCAAAGAAAACAGAATACCCTGCACCGCTCTGTCTCTGTGTTTTATGAAAATACGCTAATGCCGTGAACAGTAAAAATGTATAGGCAATATGTTTTTGATGAATGTAAGACTTTGTAAACAAACATATAATGAGTATGAACAATGAGGGATGATGACATTTCATAGTACATCATATATCTTGCAAGAATAGCTAAAATATTAAATAAAATAAATTAATATAATAAAAACATTTGTGAGGTTTAAGCTTAAAACACAAAATACACTTATATTCAAGATACATTTGATACATTTTGCTTACACTAGCAAACCCGATTTGATTGATCACAATTTGCTCAATTTGATCACAAACCAGGATTGATCACAATTTGCATGAAACGACATACACAAGTAATATTAAAGCTATGTAAAATAATAAAATAATATAATAAAATGTTTAAAATAAAATAATGTTTTGAATAACTGAATCCAATTTAATCAGCCCTGAATCTTTAAATTGCGAAATTAATTCATAATTAAATGGTTTCTATAAAACTGTATAATTCCTTAGGCTCATCCGTTTGACAAGAAAGTGACAGGTGATTGACAGGTACCTGCTTCGCCTCTGAGTGCTTTCTCCACAGCTACACCCTTCTCCTCCAGCTGCCTCTGCTTGACCTCCACCTGCTCCAACTGACGCTGGATTATCTGAGACGACATATACAAAAATAAATACATATTGTTTGTGGCACATAAACAAGCATGATTCAAAGATGTCACCCACAGACCTGCGCCCTGTGCAGCCTCCGCAGCTCCTCCTGCTTGGCCTGTCTGCGTGCTGCTCTCTGCACTCGGCGTGTCAGCTTGGTGTTGAGTTCTTCCTCCGTTTCTGCTCTCTGAAACAGTGTGGTACAGAAACTTATGCTGGAAGGGTCCGGGAACACCACCCAAACACCTAGCACCTCTGACGGACATGACGACACTGGGGTGGCTGCCTTGGTCAGCAGCTCTGGCAAAACACTGCGTTTCTATTGAGGAACAAGATGCTGAGTGTTGCAGATTCAGCCAATGGGATTAAAGACTGAAGGGGCTCAGCACGTGAAATAAAAAGATGCTACCTTAACAGCATATGCCCTCTTGAATGCCAACGTATGAGGCACGTAAAGCGACTCGGGAGAGAGAAGGCAGAAACTGAATTAATCTAAACTGTATTTTGAGTACAACAGCTTAACAGTGCTAAACACAGCACTAACTCCATTACAAAATACACATCTATGTGCTACTAATCACAGGAAACGGTTTTACAAGCTACTTTCAGCATCACAATCTAAAATCTGAAAAACAATTCTATGCCATATTTGATACCTCATCCCCTTCATGCACCTCCTCATATATTGTTTCTTTCAAAAGGTCTGTCTTGATATCAGACAGTTCTTCCCTCAGCTGAGAGCACATCCAGAAAAAGACATTAAATTACCACAAACGTTTCATATTTAAAACTCACAATGCGTTAAATTATTCCATTAGTCCAGCTATAAAGCTCTAAGGAGTCACGGATAAATTGCTAGGCAATGTGTCTTATTGTTGTGTTCAGTAAGATTGAAAATATTTGAAGAATGAAGAGGACCATGAGAAAATGTAAAGGACAAAAATCTATATAAAAAGGAAAATGAGTGGCAAAGATAAAAAGCAACAGAGTCATATTGTGAGAAGTCAACCTTTCCTTGATTTTTCAAAAATAAAAGAGTTCACTGAACTGTGAAATCATGGCATCTTTTAGATAAAAAAAACTATTTATTGGAACTAAGCTGCAAATATGACTCACTCTGAAGTCCTTGGACTTCTGATACAAAGTATCACATGTGAAAAGGCCAGTTACATAAAAGTCTAAAAGGCACAACAGCAAAAATTTGCCTATTTATTTCTAAAGGTAGCAGAATTTTCATTGTCTATTGTCAATAATGTGGTAATGTATGAAGCATAGCTAACACAGAAGTCACTTTAAAACCATGCAGCTAGATATGCTTTATGAAATTTCCAATTGCGTGGATTTCTATTGAAATGGCTGTATTTTGCCCTTGAAAATATGCAGAATAATGTTAAATGTGGCCTTAAGGATCAGAGAAAGGAGATAGGCGTGTTTTACTCTACCTGAGCTCTAAGAGGACATCTTTCTAGAAGCGCATGGCAGGACAAGTCTGTATCTTCAGAGAAACTAGGATTCTTTCGGAAACACAAGTCTGCAATGTAGAAAGACCCTTAAAGTCATGTTCATGTGGTACAGTTCATTTATAGATCCATCTATCCATCCATCTCACCTGAGGTTCTGTTGATTCCCGACACTTTCCGCTTGCTCTCGGTGTTAGTTACGGCAGGTAGAGTTTCCGCCACCATCACAGACTCCTTCCTCTTTTTGTCCTTCTTATACACCGAAAATACAGTCTTCCAGAGGGACTTGTGCTTTCCTGGCTCCCGCTGAGTCTCAGCCACTGCGTTCATGCTCTTCCTGCTTTTACGGGGGGAGAACAACGAGTTGCGCTTTTTCTCTTTCTCCTCCACACCCGTGTCCGCCCCCCACAGCTTCATCGCTGACCTACGAAGCCTGACCTCCGGTCCCCCTGCCAGCAGTGGGGCGACCATCCGGTCTGGAAGTGTCCTCCTTTGCTCCAGCCTACGGTTGTCCGTCTGGCCGGCCGTGTCCCCGGGTTCCGAGACACCGGATCTTTCCGGAAGTCTGGACGCTTCTTCTGCCTCATCTCCACACAGGATCTCAATTTCATCCGGAGGAAGACTCCGAGCTTGATCGAGGTCGGGATTAAAACCGTCCCGCTGTGGAACAGGAGTAGCGCAGGTCGATGAGAAGACCATAACCTCTCGGTCCAGTATCGGTTCAGAATGATGAAGGGCGCGATACTGCTTGCCGATGAGAGGGGAGTGAGATGGGCTGTAGGGAGGAGTCGGAAGACCTGTGTCTGGATTTAAAATGCTTTCATTTCCAAATGAGGTGGAATTTAGGTCCAAATCCTGCTTGTCCCCCATCACACAACCTTCTACAGTGATGCTTAGTCTGTGGATTACAGAACAGCGGCCAATCGTCTCTTCTAAAGCAACGCCTGCATCGCCGTCCATAGTGTGAGATGGTTCAGGCGGGGATGTACTTTGAGATTGAGTTTGTGTGCTGGAGTCACAGTTTCTTGGCATTTGGTAGACAGAATTGGTATTGCAGGACGGTATGTAAGCGACTGAGGTGTAAAAGCTTTCTTTAACGTTAGATGTTTGGGCTGCTGTATGTTTGGGGTCGCATTCTCTAGGCAGCGGAGTCAGGCCTAAACTCTTCCTGATCTCGGCACTCTTCAGCCAGAACTCCTCTACGACCTCTAACCTCTTGACAGGTGGGTTCTCGGGGTTTGTCGATAGCTCAGATGTGGGAGTGGGGCCTGATTCTGGTGGTTTCAAAGAGGGTGAGGACTCTGCAGATGACTGGTGCAATGAAATGGACTCTTCTTGTTCCTGTTGGTCACATGGTTTGGACTCTCTTATGGAGCTGGTGTCTATATCTGTGTCATCACTGTATCCTTCAAATGACTCTGCTTATTTAAAGAATGAAGGGATAAAGAAAAAAGTTTAATGAAAATTTGAAAGAATTTTAGATTAGTTCTAGAATCTTCTTAACAAAATAGTTTTGTGGGGGAAGCGGTGCAGCCTTTCAGGTGCTCTTAAACAAGCAGTAACATAAAGCAGCCTGAAAAAAGATACGCTTGTAAAGAGGGTTCAGTCATGGTACAAATAAACTATAGAAAAGCACATTTATTGTTTTGGAGGTTTTGACAGATCCATATTCTGGAACTATATTTCAAATCAGTTCTTAAACATGTACAATAGCTAAATAAAAAATCATTTAAAATATTTGTTTTATTAAACATATATCAATTTAAATATAAAAATTATATTAATTTAGAAATATATATATATCCCCCCCCCAAATAGTTCCTATTATGAGTGTGCATCTAACTATTGCTACTGTTATGGCTTTAGTGTAGTACATTTCACATTACTTGTACCATGTGCATCATTTTTGTGTACATTTTGTGTACAATTTTTGCTGTGCATCAATTTTTTCTGTAAAGTAGGTAATTTCTTTATTTATACTTCATAAACTGCAAAAGTCATTAAAAGTATGTGCTAACCAGGCATAGTGAATTAAAGTCACTTTTTATTATTTCTGTTGTGGCAAACTACAAAGTCTCGCCCCTTAGTGAAATCTTACTGGTTCAGAATCTTACACTATGTAGCAAATATGTTGGGATTGGTAGTGATTGTTTGCATTGTGCAGCATTATTGCTTTCTGTGTGGGCAGATAAATTACAATGTGAAAACATGTCATGTTGTGCCTGGCTAGGACACGGTTTAAGTTAGATACTAATTTGCAAAATATATAAAACAGGCAAACTAAAACAACTGCACATTGTTTCCATAGCATAACCAAAAACAGAAAAAGTCAACTGCAAAATATACAAACATTAAAAACACACTATTAATCATACACAGCCTGCAAATGAAATAACCGGCAAACAAATCTTTTATGCTAATGAAGGCCATCAATTGTCATCAGGGGCGGTGCTACCTTTAACAAACCCCGCCTCCTCTTCATCAAGCCACACCCCTGAAAGCCGTTCCCTCTCCCAAGGGCAGTACTCACCCTCTATACATACACATGTCAACACACCTCAAAATACACACACATACAGTGGGGAATACACAACAATAAACATACAAACAAGCATGACAACATTCACCTCACACACAAACAAACATATTGTGGAAATATGACACAAAAATAGATAAAGACAGATATTAAATTGAACAATACCTCATCTTAAGATGATTTTTATGAAATAAACAAGCTATATAGTCAAAAACAATGTCAGATGTCTTTGCCCATTTTATCAGAGCCATTTTCTGAAGAAATTGAATAGAAACAAATACCCACCATCACTAGAATCTCCCTGGTCTTGTTCTTCTTCTGAAACTTCTCCTTCTTCTTCTTCCTCTTCCTCATCCTCAGCCTCCTCCTCCTCTTGTTTTTCCTGGTTCTCTCCTCCCTCTTCCTCCTTTAGCTCCTTCCCCAGGCCTAACTCTCTCTCTCCATTCGTCCTGATGTTCGGCCCCTCCTCCTTCTTCCAGGCAAGCTCCTCCTCATCTAGGTCTGACTCAGAGCTACTGAAGACCCAAAAAGGAGACAGATTTAGCCAGGGAAAACATGCCAGTAAATATTAGGAGCATAACAGGAGTATGTTTGGATACCTGGACTGCTCCTCTGTGTTCTTCTCCTGCAGGCTAGCGCTGAGGTTGTGCTGTGCAAGCGTCTCCTCTGGGACCTCCTGCAGTGGGCTGTCCTGTTGCTTTGGACAGGGTTTGTAGTTCTCCAGCTCAATGCGTTCTGGGGTACCACACAGTCTCTTGGCCAGGCTGGATACCATGTCTGGGTGGGCGATGGAGGACCAGCTGTCTGGTGGGGTGACTGTGCCCACTGACCCTAGAGAGGACAAAGACGTGGAAGCCGAAGATGGAGCAGGGAGAGCCTGAAGAGACAGAAACACACACAAGTCTGCATTACACGTCAATAAATGCAACAATACCTTTTTAATTGAAGAAATAGATATCACAACTTTTCTATGATTTCTTTTCCATTTTTATTTATATAATGGTAAACTAAATTATATAAAAATATTTTAAATAAAATACATATGTTTGAATGCAGAATAAACAAATGATAGAGTTATATACACATATATATGTGTAAATATATATACAAAAATATATAAATATTTATTACATAAACTAAAATATAAATTAAATACAAATGTAATAAATACATTAAAAACTATGGTGCAGGTTATACTATTTTAAAAAATTGCTTCCTATTTTTACATAAAATTATTCACAAATCTGTCTGACATATATAGTCATTATACTGATAATGCGTGTGTACTATAAAACATACATTTTTACATTTTATATATATCTAAAAATAGGCACATAGAGGATCTGAAAGAAGTATAATGGTGATATTGATGAATGATGAGGTTACCTGAGTAGGTCGAGGGGCCACAGGTGGGGCCGGTCTCTTTCTCTGAGCCATTCTGAAGCTGAAGTGGTGCTTACAGTAAAACTTCCCTGTACAAACCGAAAGAAAGGATAAGACGTGAGGGAGCGGGAAAATAAAAAAGTAGCTGATGTAGGGAGTAAATGTCTTATTTATACCATTGCTTAAAGTCTGTCTGAATGCTGCCTCTTTTTTTTAAACTTGAAGTGTTCGAATCCTGTGATCTATATGACCCTATCACTTGGAACTTTTTGATGTTTTGATTCCTATTTTTAAAAAAATGTTTAAAAGGCATTTTGCTGAGGGCGTTCAATTTGTGTGTGTGTGTGTCCTACTGTCATTATCGGACAACAATAAAAGCCCTGTCCCAACAGACACATATTTCAGACCTCATGACTGTGCAATGGTAACAAAAGAGCAGTTTGTTTTGCCGAAAACAGTTGCCTACTGGAACACAGAACAACAGGGCATTTTCACACACTGTATCACCCATCGTGAGACCACATCCATTAAAAGCTAAACACCTATTGTTTTTGATATGAGCATAAAATCTTAAAAACACTAAGTATTGAGAATGTTAATTTTATTAGTAAAAGTATGAAGTGGTTAATCGTACACACACACACCATGTTGCTGGTCGTAAGTGTAGTTGGACAGGCGTAACGTGGAGCTGCAGTGGTCACACTGGAAGCAGCTCCTGTGGAAGAACTTTCCCTCCGCGCTCAGCCTTTCCATGACATAAACGCGACGGCCACAGAAATAACACACATCGCTGCCGCCCATATTCACAGGAAACTCCTTTTGAGAACCCTACAGGTGAGAAGCCAAAGGTCAAGAGTCAAAAGAAAGATGCTTAACATGGGCAATTACAGCTGTCAGGACAGAACTGGGGTGACAGTGTGCGTTCAATAATTTTTATATTATTATTATTTATTATTATAATTATTTTATTTATTATTTGCAAATAATTTTATTTAATATATAATATAATAATAATATAATATATATATATATTATATATATATATATAATATTAATATATTAAATCAAATATGGCTAACATAATGAAATGCTTCAAACAGTCTCAGATTTCACCACGTCATAGAAACAAGTTTGATCATGACAGTAAATTACATTTGATTGCAGCACTTCCATGTACAACACTTTGGGTGTGATCAGTCTAACAAAGCCGTAAAGCGTTGAGCCTTCTTAGAGAAACTGGATTACAGCAGCAACTCACACACTCACAGTAATTAGTAAATATAACACCAAACAAAAGTCAGCGCTGGGATACAGACCTCATACACACAGTAATACAGGCACTAAAATGGACACAAGAACATTCACAATGTTAGGGAAGATTTGTCGGCAGCACTACAGGTGAACTCTTACCAACTCCCTCCTGTGAAGGAGCTTGGGAGCTTGATCCTGCTGACTCTGAATCTGATTGGCTATCTGCTGAGCCAATGAGCTCACTCCGCCCGTATACATCTGAATGTGGCTCTACAAATCAAAAGATGAGCATGGAAAACAAGCAGGAATGCAAAATGCTTCAGAGATGAAAACCATCACAAAGACAAAAGAAATGATGTATCAATATTCATATGAGAGCATAAAGGTGTGGAAATGACAGATTGGTCTTAGAAAAAAGAGAAAGGCAACAAAAATGAATACTATAAAGATAACCATAACAACAGCTATATTAATGTTCACACCAATGGGCAATAATTTATTATATAAGCACGCTCTTCAGTTATGACGTCTGCCGCTTTAAACACTTGAGTGCTTTAAAGTCTAATTGGTTTTTGATTGGATTTTGGCTGTAAAGGTTTTTATCGTTCATCAACTGGGAAAAAAATCATTCTGAAAGTGATTTTGACAGTGAACGTCTATCTATCTATCTATCTATCTATCTATGTATCTATCCATCCATCCATCCATCCATCCATCAATAAATCAATAGAAATAAACCTGTCAGTCAAAGGCAAAGTCAGTAAGAAGCATAGAGGATTAGATAGAGATAATAAATCATTCTGTCTGAGATTCTTCAGTTAAGACCCTCAAATCACATGTCCCATGGCCTCCAGTCACTGATAGGCTGTAGAGCCCCAGGCCAGTTCACACACAGAGCTCCTTCATAACAGTCCCAGAGACCAAAGAAGCTTAAAACAGAACCAGATTAGCCATTAGTATACAAAAGTGTACACTACTGGACCAATTTTATCTTATTGCACAGGTGTGTTTTTACCTTCTCGCTTTAAATTGGCAGAGAGTGAACTTTGACCTTTTTCTTGTAGCGGAAACTCATCAGCTCCTGCTGTGTTGTGTGCTTTTTCTTAAGTAGGGTTGGTGGACATCAAAATGTTAATTCATTGTAGAGTAAAAATTCCCGGTGCAGTCTTCTAATGCCGCAGTTGTCACTGTCAATCACCTAAATGGCTTTTAATCTAATAAAACGCCTTATAACTGCCTAGAGGCTTTGCCAATTCTAGTTCACCCTGTTAAAGTGTGTATGCTAAGTTTGTGCATGAGCCACTCTATGAATCAGCAGCTTTCGCTGATAGGCAAGGTAAGCTAATTCACTCAATATTAGGAAAACATCACAAAATCTCATGACTAACAGAGGCATTGTGACATTTTATCACAACTAAAACAAAATACTCCATCTTTTATCAAACATGGTGATTTTTTTTTAATGACTATAAGACTTGTTAATCAAGTCAGATTGACACGATGAAGCATTAAATCCTTTCTCCTGCTTAGTTTTTTTTTTTGAAAGAAAGCAACTTTGAAAAAAATACAAGTTTTGTTGCACCTCGTCAGGACATGCTGTAACTTAACTTGAAAACAAATATATGTATGCACAAGCAAACACACCTTTATACGTGTAAAAGCACACATGCATCACACAAATACTCACACACCTGTCGGCGTGTTGCAGTGGCTGAGGCCGACAGTGAGTTCTCCTCAAATTTAGCCAGCAGTAGCGTTGCCATGGACCGAACCCTGCTGTGACCCTCAGCGACCTTTGGTTCTGAACCAGGAGTTGCTTCTGAAGTCTTATTTTCTTTGGTATCATGAGGAACGTCCTCCTATATCAGGAAAATATCACAGATAATCAACATAAACGTTATGCTTAACAGATGAAAAAACTACAGTATATATACTATAGTGTATATATACAGTACAGTAAGTTTTTTTAAAATCTAAAAATACAGAAAGTTTCCTGTGAGGAGTAAGTTTAGATGTAGGGTTGGTGTAGGGCAATAGAACATTCGGTCTGTACATTAGAAAAAGCATTACGCCTATGGAGAGTCCCCAAAAGGATAGCAAACCAGACGTGTGTGTGTATGTGTGTGTGTGTGTGTGTGTGTGTGTGTGTGTGTGTCAAAACAACTCACCTCCTCTGACTGGCCAGTCTGGCTTGTTCTCCTCCTCTTTCCAACACTATCTGCTTCCTTCTCTTTCTTATCCTGAAAAACAGCACATCTTAACATATGGGTAACGGCTGATAAAAGACTGTTGTGTAATTGTGTGTGTGTGTGTGTGTGAACCTTGGGATTGCGTTTGCGGGACAGACTCTGTCCCAGTTTGCTCAGCAGTGAGATGGGTGACCTGGTGCTGGAGAACAGAACAGCTTTCTCTTCTGAGCTCAGGTTTCCTGTTCAGAGAACAAAAAGTGTGTATATAAATAAACATAAAAGGTCAAAAATATGACACAAATAAAAATAAAATAACAGATAATATCCTATCCTGACCACCAGCTGGCGCTGTGTCTTTGAGGAGCTCATAAAGTTGACTGAGGTACATGACCATGCTAAGAGAGTCACTCTCTTCCAGTGTGCTCATCTCCTTTCCGGTCATTATAGGACAAATACCAAATTCCTGCTCCGCCATGTCCAAACCCAACTGACCATTGAGCTCCGCCTCACTCTCCTCCAGAGACGCAAAATCACTGCAAGAAACAAAGACGGTAGTGTCAGAGTCACACATTCAGAAAACCTCAATGCAATAAAACAATCAGCCCACACTTTTAGCTACTAACTTTCCTTTTGAAGGACTGAAAGCACTTAAAAATCAGCTTTATTAAAAATTAGCTTGAGCCCATCAATATAATAGTATCTTAATATATAAACATTTATTTAAAAGAGTTAATAAATACTAAATAGATCAATAATGAAATATGTCAACAAATACACAAGTCTGATGGAAAATGTCATCTACATGTAATTTATATATTTATTGACACATTTAATGATTTGGATTTTATTTATTGACATTTATTTAATAACTATATAGTGTCAATATATAATTAACTATAAATGTTATATATAATTTAAGAAATCATAAAATGTGTTATATTTTTTATTGACACATGATCTATTTCTTTATTTATGCTTTTAATTAAATATTTATTAATATGGCACTCTTAAATCCTCTAGTCCAATAGAAAATGTAATTTACATGCGATTTATTTATTGACAAATTTCCTATTTTTTTTAATAGTGTGAAGAAATAAATAACTACACTTCAATAAATAAATAAATAATAAAATATGTATTTATATTATGACATAATTAAATATATTATTTTATAAATATAACATTTAATAATATGTAATATATTTATATGCATATTTATTTATTGACTCATTTCATGATCTATTTAGCTACTGATGATTTTAATGAAATATTTATTAATATGGCACTCCCGAATCCTCCATAAATAATTTTTTTTACTAGATGTACATATTTAAAACGGTCCCTTCTGGGAAGCAGACCAAAAATAATGGTGCCACAGTCACATCATATAAATTTTAATCCAATAAAATGCTAGCAATAGAAAGCAGCAACTCATAGTTTTGCCAACCTGTGAACTAAACCAGGTTACCAGCCCAGATCTTTTACCACTATGCCACAACCCTCATTCATACCCAGAGTAAAGAGTGTGAACTCACATGAGGTCAGGTCTGAATCTGTGAATGAGAGCGCACAGGGCCAGGCCGCTCCTCCAGGAAGTTGTGAAGTCCGTCACACACACGTTCATGTAGCCATGTGTTTGCTCTTGACACCAGCTCAGCAGCTTACTGTAACGAGCCACTGACTCTACACACACAGACAGCATGTTAGATTGTGTATGAATGTATATGTGGGAGATGGTATATATGAAGTCACACATACCTTGGCGTGTAAGTCTTGGGTGTGGAGAGCTGACTGCATCAAGGCTCAAAACTGGACCCTCACCTGTGTCTATGAGATGACACACCTGTACACACATGTTCAACATCATCATGATCACCATCACTGATTGTGACTTGATTAGAACTGCAGGTTTCTAACCTGAGCAGCGCTGATGAGTTGCATATTGATGTTGGGATAGCGGCTAGCAGGATCCATGCTGTACTGGCTGTGGTTTTTACTGACGTTTTCTGGTGTTGTCTGAGGAAGCAGCCGATACACACTCTCTCTGAGATGGGGAAGAAACGGAGGGGGGTATTAGAACAGAATCCTACATTGTCAGAACTGTTTGTTCATAAATCTGCCTTGACTTCATTCAGACTCTGACCTCTCAGCCAGAACCTGTGAAGGGGTGTTGCCCTGACCCCAGCTGCGAACCATCCAGGCCGTGTCCATGGCTGCCAGGAAGCCCCGAGCAATTCCTGTTCCCATTGGCCAGAACGGCTGTAGGAAACAGAGCTGTATAAATACACTAAAATGCCTAAAATTAGGAAAATCAGAGCAAACAACTCATGAAAATATTACAGATGTTTTCAGAATGTTATTATATTATTAGTTATTATATTACAATAACTAGTTTTAGTGACAAATTTTCAAAACATTTTAAATTTAATTGATAAAACTTACCAAAATAGTTATGAAATGTATTATTGAGTGTCAAAATACATTTATATTCTTTAAAACAAGGGATACCAAAAACTTGATCATTATGATATTATGGTCAAAATAATTGCAAATTACAATTCTATACTATTTTTATATATGTTTTATTTTTATATAAAAATAAAATCAATCATTTTAAATGCTGCAAGTGAATTTAGGCATCAAAACATTATAATATACATTGCTATGTATGAAAAATATGGATATTAATTTTTGAGATTTAATAAAAAAATGAATATGGATATTCATTTTGAGCTAAAAATAAAATTTAATAAAATAAAAAAATAAAAATAATATGTTGAAATATAAATTATGCATTTAATATAAATGTATTTATTAAATTATGAATGATTTTGTTGAATGTTAGGTAGTGCAAACGTAGTCTAAATGTGAAATATACATTTAAATATATATATATATATATATATTAA